GGAGTTTCTAGCATAACGCTTGCTTTGGAGGATCAGAGAGGTTCAGCCGCTGGATACGAGTGCAACCCTGGCAGCGTCAAGATGATGACACCACTCAAAGGTACGTGGAATTGCTTTGAACGTAGAAATCCGTTTGGTTTCGCCTTGTAATACACATCACTGTGCTGTGGGCAGCAGTTGGTTTTAGCAGCGCGCACAAGACTAGCCGGTGCGATCAAGCGTTTTGTGCAATTCCGTCCACCGAACGATTGCCCGTTAATGATTTTCACTGCTTCGCACTTTGGTCTGTGCACAGTCATATTTTGCGCTTCGATCTTTGCAGACGACGCTGCTGCAGCGAATTTTGGATTCACTGTGCAGCACGTAAACCCCGAGATAATGGATAACCAGATGACATCGGCTCCGAGCGACATGAGCGATGAGCTGAAGTCTGCAATCACTGCTGAAATTCGCGTACAGATTGTGCCGGTTGTGAAGGAGCTCGTACGCGAAGTGGTCAGTGAATTTCGTACAGTCATTGCGGATATGGTCAAACCGCTCCACGAGGATATGCATAGATTTCACGGCCACAGTATGACACCAAACGCTTTGCTGCCGGAGAATGCAGGAATTTATGTGAGTGGATCACCTTCAGTGAATGATACACAAGGCGGCCAGGTGTGTTTTCACTTCTTTTTCAAGCTGGGATTACGGGCGGATGAATTAGAATTGGAATGAGTTAAGAAGACGAGCTTGGTAGCTTGAGATTCCAGGAGTTTGGGTTTATGCACTTGTAAAATGATTTTTTTTTCACCCTTCAGTTACCTTCATCGATTTTTTTGCATCACGTGCTCCCGATGTTCGTTTCCTCTTCCCTTGGCGATCCTATCCTGAGATACTCTGATCTTGGATATAATTGGCCTCGTACAAATCCACTTTTATTTTTGCCTCCGGTATATCCTGTAGGATATAGCGGCCATAGCAACATCTTCAGTATTTCCACAGTGGGGCAACTGTTGGGAACAAGACTGTTGCTAGTTTTTAGGAGAATTTTCTGCCTGCAGCTAAAATGCAATTTCAGTGTTTCTAAATGCGTAATAAGAGTATCAAATTTGGGTTATAAATTTCATATTTGAGTCTCTTTCTTTATTATTATGTGTTTTGCACTGTGTAGCAGTAGCACAAAAATCATATTGTTACGCCCCTGTGTATGTATGTGTATATATGTTTATGCATTTTGTGTGTGTGTGTGTTTGTGTGTGTGTGTCCGTGTCCGAGTGGATTTTGTCCCACACTTTCAATTCGGGAGCCAGAAGAGCTATAAGGGTAAAAATTTCAGGAGTATGTCTTCTGCTTACGAAGGGGCCTCACGAACTCGAATTTGACCCCCAAGTATGCCGGGTTCTCACTGACGACTACATGAGAATTTTGGCGCGAAAATTACTAGGAACTCTGGAACTAGGAGGTTGAAACTTTAAAACGATGTTGATAAATTCAGCTCTCACACTTGCTTTTCACGTACCGGTGCATGAAATTTTTAATGACGAATTTTGCAGCTTAGAAACCATAAAATATATCGACCATTTTGATACCCACAAAAGTTGCAGAACAGCGAAAATCCTTATCTGTCAAACGTCCATTGGGTGGAATTGTGCAAAACGCATAATCGCACAAACTCTCCTGGTACGCGTCGCTATTTATTTGTCCGGGAACACTAAGATTGCATTTTGTTGTTATCAGCTGCAGAGTGTTGTTAGTTGAAAAGTCTTGGTAGTAGCTCACTGGAGTATTTTTTTAAGCACGGTCTTGTAATTCAAGGTGTCTTCTCGTACTTCTTTCCGCTCTTTCTTTGGTTTTCACTGACATTGCGTGGTACTGCTGGTGTATTTTCCAGGAGAACACCGGTGAGAACTGCGAACATCTTGCCATATCTCCTGCATCGATGAACCGTTCAAAGGCGTACTCCGAGAATAATTTTAATGATAAAGATGATGAAGACAAATATGTGAAGTAAGCATGGCGCAGTGGTTTTTATGCGTTTTTTGCAGCTATGCAATGCGGAAACGCATATTGACGAGAGGTTGTTTGTGCGTGTATGTATGGCTGTGTGTGCACTGGGCCTCTGTACCGATTCTTCATCTCGAGATCTACAAAAGCTACAGGGCTGAAACTTTGGGAACTTAATCTACATGTATGTGCAGGCCCCTATCCCCGAAATGGGTGATCTTACCCGCGTGGTACCTACGAACAGGCCCGTGAAAGTTTTGCGGGTGAGCTGCTAACTCGCGAGCCAGAAAAGCTTGAAATCTGAAATTTTAGGGGGATGTTCCCCGTCCACGTAAATCTCAGTGAGCTCAAACCCAGCCTTCGGGTATGCGTGGCATCCAAGCACGGGCCCGCCAAAGTTTTTTTTTGGGGGTAAGTTGCTAATTCGAGAATTTGAAAAGCTAGAAGACTGTAATTTTAAGAAGATATTCCCCGTCCATTTACGTCCACTTATGTCTCATTAAAACGTAAGTGGACGGGAAATTCAGAAACTTATGTCTCATTCCGTCAAGCAGATGGGCAGCTACACTTACATTTGGTTAACAACACAGATGAGCAGCGGTTTGCGCATAGGCTAACCACTGGTACTTCTCTGCTGACCAACAAATGACATTTCATTATCTCTTGGCAAGGCTTCGATGCTTCAGCGAAATCATCCTGGAGGGCATACGCGCCAACATTATTTCGTCAGCAAAACAATTTTGACGGCACTGACATGAAAAGGGAAAGTGTCGTTCATGATTCGGGGGCTTGGGCCTTTGCGAAGTGTTCAATTATCGGTCGAGAAGTAACCTCTCGGTGCCTCATCGTTTTTACCAGTTTGTTGTTTAATCAGAATAAAAATGTTCAGGGAGCCACGAGAGCCACGGGCACAGTCGTCGACCAGCGATTGTCCAGCATTTAGTTTCATTTATTACAATACAGCATGTCTTATTCCGATTCCTACGCTGCTGCATCCTGGAAGGTAAATCTGCAAAACAAATTTTCTGCGAGCTGATGGTCCGGGCATTTTCGTTTACGGTTCCTTACTAGTTTCCGTTTCAGGAACGAATTTGTTTGCCGAAAAGTGCCGAAAATATTTCTCGGGAGAGAAGGCGGGAAAATTTCGTTTCTTGTGGATATGAAGGCGGTCTGTTTGAGGGAGCTCACATCTGACAACTTGGGCTAGTTGTTGTGAAATTGATTCATTATTTTGCATATTATTTAAAACTTTTATTCACTCAGCTAAATGCGTTTGCCACTTCGCAGCTTTTTCAGGGTATTGGACTTCTAGATTTGCGGCGCACATGAAGTCACGCAAGTATTTCGTCAAAGACGGGAAAATCACAGGACGCATTCGACAGTTTGGGCAAGTTTGCCACCTGCTTCAAGACTACGACCACATTCTGCACCGCCAGTATTACTGTCATGGAAACACAATTGGTCCAGCAACAATCCGTAAAAATATATGGTATTTGACAAGTAAAGTAAACCTGAGTGAAGTGGTGGGATGCTCCTTGGTTTCTTATGAAATTGGTGATAATGTTACCGTAAAAGTCTCGAAAGTACGCTACAAATCGGAGATGCCAGTGAAAGAAGAGATACCTGCAGAAGAGATGGATGTTAGTGTTGTGCTGAATCCGAACGCTGAGCTTCAGAGGTTTGTGGATAGTATGGAACCGCTACAGGCGTTACCTTGAATCCAAGAACTCATGTATCATCTGTGTTTTATATCAGCTCTTATGTGTTTTGTGTTATTTTTGTCTTGTTCTTAGCAAAATCGTGCGGTTTAGTTGGCTCTTTAAGGCAAGGTACTGGACTTGTGAGTTTATTTAGCATTTCTGGGCCTGTTGGAGTTCGCTGTTACAAAATTTCGACTCAGATATCTCACTGTAATTTTGGAGTGGCGATAGAGTAGGCAGCGCTAAGGTACAGCGAATACAAGCCC